TGTTTTTCTTAAGAGCAGAGGAAATTGAGAGGGACCATGATTGAGATATATAAAATTATAAGAGGCATAGATAGGGCAGACAGGAAGAAATTTTTCCCGTTGGTGGAGGGATCAATGAGTAGGGACATGGATTTAAGGTAAAGGGGCAGAAGATTTAGAAGAGTTGTGAGGAAAGACTTCTTTCCCCACTTAGAGTATGGTGGCAATCTGGAACTCTCTGCCTACAAGGATGGTAAGAGGCAGAAACCCTCAACATTTAGGAAGTATTTAGATGTGCACTTGCAATGCCAAGGCATTCAAGACAATGGACTGACTGCTGGAGAATGGAATTAGAGTAGTTAGGTGTGCTTTTTTTGACTGGTGGAGGATGCATTGGGCTTTCTCTGTGCTGTAGACCTCTGTGACGCTGTACTTTCTAACTCTTAGTATAAACTACAGAAAATTTGGGGTGGTGACTGGAACACAGCTGGAGAAAAGTTCCCAGGATTTTAGAAGTGCAGCAGCATGAATGTCGAAGATAGGACTGGACTTTGTTGCAATGTCACGTCCAAAGGGAAAAAAAACCTGAAAAAGCTTTTATCTTAAGCCTGTCTGGAATCTTGACGACCAAGCTCGGTGTGCTATATGCAGTTCTGCACTCCATGTTCTATACGCACATATAGAGGCATAAAACGCTTAAAAAAATTCGCTACAATTATACCAGAACTGAGAATCTACTTATCGGGAAGACTGAACACGCTGTTGCTCTTTTGTGTAGAAGGTAGGGGAAGATGTGGAGAAAATGTTTCTACCCGCTGAGGAAATCCAAAAACTAGAGCTATAATATGTCACTATTCAATCCAATAGAAAATTCAGCAGAAGTTGTTCTACCCAAAGTTAGAGTAACACGAAGTACCTTACCAACTGAGGTAAATACAATTGATGGATTTAAAAGGGAAGTTGGATAAACACGGGAGGAAAAATGGAAGAACATGCTGATGTTTTGGGGAGGTCGGGTAGGATGATGCTCTTAAGGAACATAAATGCAATCATAGATCTGTGGGGCTGTTCAGCCAACATAAAAACACAACGGTCTGCTAATGGAGATCGCACCGTTTTTTTTTGAGGTTGGGGAGAAAAGGCAAAGAAACAGAGAATTAGAGATTAAGGAAAACAATGACTTTAAAAAACGATAGGAAACATGTTCGCTCATATATATTTCTACGTTTTAAGAATAGCAGCAAATCAACGTCACGGATTTACTGAGTCAACCGATGGTGAGATTATTTCATTTAGGGCAGATAAGGTGATTCTTTTTAAAAAAAAAACTTAAATTGTATAAAATAATTGAGTAGGGAATATAGAGAAACCCCTCAGAAAATCACCCATCAGGACAATTCAGATTTTAATTCCTAATGGTCAGAAACATTCAATTGATTCAAAAATGTCATTTTACGACTGTTTAAGTTGTGTTGATGGAATGCAATTTATTTCTAAAAACCGAAAAAAGCTGCGGATGCTATAAATCAGAAACAAAAATAGAAATTGCTGAAAAAGCTCAACAGGTCTGGCAGCATCTGTGGAGAGAAATCGGAGTTAATGTTTCGGGTCAAGTGATCTTTCCTCAGAACTATTTATTTCTATTAGCTTTTGAATGTTTCAGGAAGAGAAGGTTCACAGACTGATGGGATGGAAAGAAAGAAGGATTCGTTTGATTTTAGAGACATTATCTGCTGCTAATTGATACTAGTGCGAGCATCAAGCGGGGAACGCTGGATTTACCGTCAGCAGTGAGAGGTAAAGAACGTGTATGCAGTGTTTCAGCATTACCTTGCTATTATTATAAAATCGTTAGGTCAGATTTTTAGCGACACCGACCCAGTCAGTATGGAATAACATAGCAGGCCACAGACCTTAACTCAGAGCAACCAACGGAGACATATTAGCGGGAATCTAATCATTCTTTTCACCTGCCTGAAACTGATTTTACATGATTCAATCTGAATAATTTAAAGCACCGTAGACGAGTGTGTATTTCAAGTGGGCTAAGTAAAGAATCGTGAAAGGGAATTACCAAATGTTTGTAATTAAAGTTATATGGAAATGGTGAGTAATCTTTACTTTTACAGTCATATTCAAGAACAACGAACTTCGAGCGTAACATTTATTAAGGTCAGTTTTCATCCTGAATGAAGTCCTAACCTAAATATCTAATGTAATAATATTTAAATATATTTTCCCTTAGAAAAACGTCACTGTTCTTAGTAAAACGCAAGGAAAGGACTAGCTATTGAGATTGTAAAATATTCTAGGCTGCGTCTATGGCCAACAATGTCTCTCCTACTACACGGGGATCTACGACCAAGCCCTTGTTGTAATGCACCGTACGAGGGAAATACAAGAATTTGTCGGCGGAGATCGACGCCGATTTACATAAATCTGTGAAATGCCTTGGAAGAGAAGATAAGGAATTCCACCATTTAAGGTTTGACGAGATGAGAAGAGTGGGATAGATTCTGAAGAATATGCGTCAAAGGTGGTGAAGAGACCGACTAAAATATTAGACATTTACAGAAAGTTCGCGAAATTGAAGTCCTGATGAAGGGTCCCGACCCGAAACATCGACTCTCCTGCTCCTCTGATGCTGCCTGGCCCGCTGTGTTTCCCCACCTCCACACTGTGCTATCTCTGACTCCAGCATCGGAAGTTCGTGCTATCTCCGAGAAACTGGAGCACTTTTCACTGCAACACAGGCAGACAAGGAAGATATGACAATTCTAAGTATTCGGGGGTTTTGATAATTTAGAGGAAGCAATTTCGCGATTCGAAACGTTAATTGGGATTTTTCATTTTGCCAGTTACAGACTTGGATGTAAACAAGTTGTTGAATAATTAATGTTAGTGAACAATAATCAAGATCTTGTAAAGGAATAATTAAGTAGGTAATAAATGGGCCGTTACTTGGGTCAACCTGATCAGCTTTCTCCTGTAGATTCTAATTTCGCCTCTGGTACTCTTATACCTTAAATTCATGCCCTGTGCATATCGCTCTTTTTGCCAGTGAGAACAATTTAATCAGCGGTCTAATCAATGGCTTATTATTTTCAAAAGAATTGGATGTGAGAACAGCAACATTGTAAGCGTAGCCATTCACACCAGGATCTCGCAAATTCGTTTCAGTGGTGATTCCTGTATTTTTAAAATAGGACCAAAAGTTACGAAAGGCGGATTTATAAGGTGTGTTCTAAATGTATTCACTTATATTTGTCCCAGCCACAGGTTTGAAATGTCCAGCCCCAAGCGGGAGACCAGAGGATCAGTTCCACACACAAACTCGCTGAGCAAGTTTGAGGTCAGGAAACTCTTAGAGAAATACAAGAGCGAGCGAGACGAAGCGTCCAGGAGGGGGGAGATCAGCCGAGACAAACTGCGAGCGATCGAGGCGGCGGCCAGGGCACAAATCCAGGAGCTGAGGGAGAAGGTCAACGCCTTAAACTCGGAGAACAAGAGCCTGAACAGAAAAATCAGAAAGCTCCAGCCCGAGCTGCGGATAGAGGCGAACCCCAGACTCAGAAACAAACTGACCAGGGAGGTGGTGAAAGAACTGAAGGAAAGGGCGGAACGATGTCAAAATCTCCTACAAGAAAATGCTAGGTTAGATCAACAGATAGACCAACTGGCGGCGGACTTAGCTCAGGCGGAACATGTTCGGAAGCTTTTAGAAGATCGCCTGCAAGTAGCTCAGAGTCAGGTAAAGAGTCTGACCAATGAACATGACCGAGTGTTAAAACTATGGGAAGAAGCCAAGACTGAGAGGGAGCGAACCCTGCGGATTAACCGCCTATTCAGAGAATCCCTGTGCAATAAGCAGAAGTCTCAGCAGACACTGGACAAGTGCATTCAGACCATCGCTTCCATTCCCATTTACAGGAGGTTTCAGAAGAGAAACCCCGAGTCCATGGTGAAGCAGCAGGCCCTGCACCTGCAGACCGTGAAAATGAAGCAAAAGTTTATGGAGCAGCTGTCGGTGATTCCGAAAGAAAGCCGGGACAACACGTCTGCAAAATCATCAACAAGCATCTGCCGAATGTCCTCAGACTGAGAACCGTTCTGTAACACCGAGAGAAAGAATCACTTTGGAATAGACCGCCGGCCACAACGCGACAGCTGTACTTATAAAGAAAAGCGAATTTTCAGTTTGTGTGTATGAAACATTTCAGTTGCAGTTGGCTTTTAGTTTAGCGAAAAGCAAGTTAATAACAGCTTGGTATGAAATTATTTCTAATGTCATGTCTGCATATTTTCGTCTTTTCCAATATTAGATTTCTAATAAGGTACGATTGATTTAGAATAGTTTTATAAAACTGACTCGGATTGTCATCAATTTATCTTAAATATCAACCCAACATTAGCTACCAATAAATTTCAATCAACGTTTTTTAAAAGAAAAGGATTGCATTTATATAGCGCCTTTCACGATCTCAAGCCATTCCAAACTGCTTCACAGCCAATGAAACACTGAGGTGTATTGCAGCAGTCGCATGCACACATTGCACGGTTACACAAGGACAGTGCAGCCATGACTAGACGGATGTAAGGTAAGCAGCAGATGGTTTAGGACAGATTTGAGGAAAACCTAACTCATCCGGAGGCGGTGGATATCTGGAACTCTCAGCCTAAAAGTCAGAGTGGGAATTTCACAACGTTTAAGAAGCCTGAACTCACGCAAGAGCAGGTTCAAGAGCACTCAAGAGCACAAGACTGTTGAATGGACTCTAGCCTCTGTAACCTGCAATGTAACCTGTCTGCCTCTAAATCTTTTTAATCTGTACATCCTTTGCTTGCTGTGATCTACCTGTACCGCTCCTAAATAAAACTTTTCACTGTATTTCAGTACACGTTACAATAAATCAGTCAAACACTTAAAACACCAATGCACACCACCTCAAGGGCTGAATAATTTAAAAATGGGATTAGTTTGAATCATCACTTGATGTCCAACATGGACACGTGCTACAAAGCTCTGACTCTATAACGTACTTTAGAGATGTTGATTGAAGGATAAATATTCATCAGGATACTGTGAGAACATTGCCATCAAGACTTTCAAAAGCACCTAGGAGGGCAAGTGATTCAACTCTGCAAGGTAACATCTTGTATTTTGCACCTCTCTCGATATTACACCACAGAGTTAGTTACAGAGTTGTAATCTCGGGATTACTCCCCATACCACATGGTTGTACAGCAAGGAACGGGAAGAAAGTAACAGTTTAACACGTGGCTAAAGAGCTGGGGTGGGAGGAAAGGTTCCAGATTTGTGGATTACTGGGATCTCCTTCCAAGGCAGGTGGGACCTGTACAAAAAGGATGGGCACCAGCATCCTGGCATGGATTTAAACTAATAAGGTAGGGGAGTGAGATCCAAGGCAATAAGTCAGGTAGTGAGTAGAAGGTAGAGGTTAATAGGATAAACAGGCAGGGCCAGTACAACAATGTGGTGAGGGAGAGAATCATAAAAGATCAAAATGTGAGTTAAAAGTTAGAGCAAAAATGATAGAGATGAGACTCAATGTCATTGGGAATAATAAATAAAGATGGAGAATGTGGAAGCATGGTGGACAAGAAAATATTAAAAGAGAAAAACAAACCAGTAGACCTTATTTAAAAACCTTGTACCTAAATGCACGCAGTATTTGAATAAAGTTAACACGCTGATAGCACAAATAGAGACAAATGGGTACAATCTGGGCTGGGGCGGGGGGGAGGGAGAGGATTGAAATGTGGTTACAGGAAGATCAGGACTGGGGAGTTAAATGCCCAGGGTGCTCAATATTCTGAAAGGATAGACAAGAAAGAGGAGGTCGATATGCTTTATTGATTAAGGCATCAAAGCTGTATTAAGAAATGGTATTGGCACTAGGGACCAAAAGTAAAAAGCAAGGGAAGAAACCCCTTGGCAGGAGTAATTTACAGGCCCCCAAACAGTATTTCCAAAGTAGGGCATAGTATAAACTAGGAAATAATGAGGGCTTGTAAGAAAGACACAATGGTACTTATAGAGTCATACAGCTATTGACTGGATTAATCAACTTGGCAAGGGTAGCCTTGAAGAAATGTTCATAGAGTGTATTAGGAATTTTTCTTAGAGCAACATGTCATGGAGCCAACCAGAGGATGGGCTACTTTAGATTTGACATTATGTTACGAGGAATGATTGATAAATAGTCTTATAGTTAAGGATCCTCTTGGAAGGAGTGCCCACAAATGCTAGAGTTTCAAATTCCGATTGAAAGAGTGAACAGAGAGTCACATATGAGTTTTAGCACCGGGCAAAGGTAATTAATTATACAGACCCGAGGAAGGAGTTGGCCCAGGTGGACTGGGCAACAACATTAAAGGACAGGACAATTGAAGAATAGTGGCAAATGCTTAGGGAGATACTAAATAATTCTCAATTCAGGTATATTCCTGTAAAAGTTAATAGCACTCTGGAGGATTGGGAGAACTTTAAACATCAGTAAAGGGTTACTAAAAAAAAAGAAATTAAAAGAGTGAAGATGAACTATGAAAGGAAACTAGCAGAAAACATTAGCACTAATACCAAAAGCTGCTGTAAATATATAAAACAAGAGAATAGTGAAAGTAAATGTTGGCCCTGTAGAGGACGAAAATGGCAAGGTAACAATGGGAAACTCAGAAATGGCAGTGCAATAAATCAATATTTTGTCTGTTGTCAAAGTGGAAGATAATAATTTCTTTCCCAAAACTGCAGTTACTACAGAGGAACTTCATGAAATTAATATAACTAGGGAGAAAATATTAATTAAACTGATGAGATTAAAGACAGATAAGTCCCTGGGGTCTAATGGCCTGCGCCCTGGGTATAAAAAAAGAGGTGGCAGCAGAGACAGTGGATGGATTAGTTATGATTTTCTAAAAGTCTGTGGATTCTGGAAAGGTCCCAGTGGATTGGAAACATGCTTATGTGACAGCCTTATTCAAAAAAGGAGATAGGCAAAAAGTGGAAAACTATAGACCAGTTTGTTTAACCTCTGTAGTGAGGAAGTTGCTGGAGTCAATCATAAAGGAGGAAATAACTGAACATTTGGAACAAAGCTCAATTCACCAGTGTCAGCACAATTTCATGAAGGGCAAATCATGCTTGACAAACTTGCTGGAATTCTTTGAGGATGTAACCAGCAAGGTGGATAATGGGGATTTGGTGGATGTAGTATATCTAGGCTTCCAGGAGGCATCTGACAAGGTGCTGCATAAAATATTGATCCAGAAGGTTAGATCCCAGGGGTTAAGGGTGGAGCACTGGCTTAGATAGTGGAATGACTGACGGGGTTGGGATAAATGGGTCTTTGTCTGGATGGTGAACTGTAACTAGTGACATGCCACAGAGTTCAATTCTCAGACCCCAACTATTTAAAATCTATATCGATGATGTGCAAGCAGGGACAGAGTGTAACATAGCAAAGTTTGCAGATGATACTAAAATAGGTGGAAAGCAAGCAGTGATGAGGAGATAGAGAACTTACAGATGGATATTGACAGGCCAGGAGAATGGGGCAGAATCTGGCAGATGGAGTTAATGTGATTAAGTGCAAGGTTGTCCATTTTGGCCAGAATAATAAAAGGGCAAATTATTATCAAAGTGAGAAGCAGATTCAAAGTGCATCAGTGCAGAGGGATCTGGGTGCCTTCGTGCATGAGTCGCAGAGAGTGGGTATGCAGGTGCAGCATATAATAAGAAAGGTAAATAGAATCTTGGCATTGACTGCAAAAGAACTGGATTATAAAAGTAGTGTGGGCGTTGGTGAGATCACATCTGGAATACTGTGTCCAGTTTTGAGGAAGGATGTGATGGCACTAGAGTCAGTTCAGAGGAGGTTCTCCAGGTTGATTCCAGGGATGAAAGGGCTGTAGTGCGAGCAGCGGTTGAATTCGCTGGAGTTCAGAAGAATGAGGGGGGGATCTGACTGAGGTATATAAAATGCTAAAGGGGATTGATAAGGTGGACGTTGAAAAGATGCTCCCCTTTGTGGGATAGTCTCAAACAAGAGGTCATAGATATAGAGTGAGAGGAAGTAGGTTCAAAACTGAGATGAGGACAAACGACTTCTCTCAGAGGGTTGGGAATCTGTGGAACTCACTGCCCCAGAGTGCAGTGGAGGAAGGATCAGTCATCAGATTCAAGAAATAAATAAATGTTTCTGATGAAAAGTGGGATAAAGGGCTATGGGGAGCAGGCAGGAAAGGAGTTGAGACCAGGATAAGATCAGGCATGATCATGCTAAATACAGAGCGGGTTGAATTGCCTACACCTGCTTTTAATTCTTATGTTCAGAGATTTTGTTCTCAAATCTCTGGGATGATTGCGGTCATAAATGCCTTTCATTTAATCTTATTCTCAATGGCCTTTTGACCTGCAATTTTAATAAACGAAAATAACCTGTTCGTCAGCTGTTTTCCCCACCATCACTTTAAACATCCCTGTTAAAACACCCCCAATCTCTACTGTTCCTTAGAAACTGGGTGCTTTATTGCCTTTTCTAAGTAGAGGCTGAGGCAAATTCCAAGTTAGGTCAACAAAACCAAAAATTGAAAGACAACAACTAAACAAGAGAAACACATCTGGAATGGACAAGTTTTCTTGTGAGGAAAGATTGAACAGGATAAACTTGTATCCATTGGAGTCTGGAAACCGAAGAGGTGACTTGATTTAAACATACAAAATCTGGAGGGGTCTTGGCAAAGTGGAGGTGGAGAGAACGTTACCTCGTGGGAGAATCTGTGAATGAATAAAAATGACAACTCCTGGTCTTTAAGTCTCCACAGGCCCCATGTCCTGGTTCGGGAAATCTGCTTTCACTTGCATTCTGCTTGATGCTTAACACTAATACAGTCACCCCCTCTGCTTGGCACAGCAGCTGCTGTTTTCAGTCTTCCCCTTTAGGTCTCTCTGACTGACTGAGACTGCATCTCTGGGTTCAACAAGGCCAATTGCCCTTAAGTCTCAAGGTATGAAAGTTGACATTTGAGTTTCTATTGATCCAGCCAGGCCTGTGCCCATGGCAGCCAAATTACACAAGCCTT